ATTCCAGCATGACCTTCCTGCTTTTAAACTCCACGCTTCAGCTAATAAATGCAAGTATCCCATATGCCTTCTTAACCATTTTACCTACCTGTCCTGCTACCTGAAGGGCCCAGTGGATACGTGTATCAAGTTCCCTCTGATCTTTAGTGTTTCCCAGTGTCCTACCATTCATCACGTGTTCCTTGCCTTGTCTGTCTTGCCTAAGTGCATCACGTCATACTTATCCAAATTAAATTCCATTTGCCACTGATCAAGCCTATCTGACCAGCCTGTCTATATCCTCCTGTCTTCTGAATGTATCGTCCTCACTACTTACCACCCCACCAATTTCGTATCATCTGCAAACTTACTGATCAACCCTCCTTTGTTCAACAGTCAGTTAGCTTAGTTGGCTGAACAGCGGATTTGTTGAGTGACGCCAACTCCCAGCCTTCTCAATCTCTATCCTTAACTGAGGCGTAGTGAGCCTCACATTAAATTCCCCACCAGTCATCTCTCTCTAATGAGTGTGGTCCTCTGGGACTATGGTGACTTTACCTTTTGTATGATGTAGAAGATACACTGTGGCAATTCATGAAGGCTTCTTCAACAGCACCTTCCAACACACAACTTGTTGCACCTTGATGGGCATAAGTAGCAAATGCATGGGACCAACCACCACCAACTGCAAGTTCACCACCAAGCCACACATGGAACATTATCCCCTTTCCTTCACCATCACCAGGTCTAAACACTGGGAACCTCTCCCTAATGACACAGTGGGTATCCCTACACCACAAGGACTGTAGGTGGGTCAAGAAGACAGCTCATCACCACCTTCTAGTGAAAATCCAGGGTAAGCAATTAACTCTGGCCCAACCATTGACAATCATGAACGAACAAAACAAAAAGACAATGTTCTCAACAGATAATAGTCAAAACACACTAAACAGATAAAACATAGTGACTTTTCATAGTTTAAAAAAAACTATAAAATCTTCTATCCCCTCACTGAACAATCTGTGGAGACTGGAGAGATCAGTGGGTGTACACAATATCCTCTTGTATCTTGGATTTGAGAATGATGTACTAAAGATTTCTCAGTTACAGCACTGATAAATTCTCACACTCAGATCAATCACACCCTAACACAGACCAGAATTCAATCCTGTTGCCCCAGCTGGGAGGGAGAGCGAAGTCAGCAAAGGTGTCCACTTTTAATCACAACCCAACTAAGCTGGCTAAAACACTGCCAGGAACAGGTAAGAATAAGCTGTAATTGGGTGACAGCCACTTAACAGACAGAGCTGAAAAACTGCCTGGGGGCAGGAAGCAGGACTTGGGTCATTGCCGAGTCTCAAACCAGCTCCAGGTAAGGGGGGAAAGCTGGTCACTCTGGATTTTGAGTAGATGCCCTCTTAATTGACACGATGATAGAATTCGTGATCACTCAGCGGCTGCAGCCGGGCTTTCATAGCTGCTGGGCCACAGGCCTTCCAACTTGAGAGCAGGAACAGGCTGCAGTCGAGGGCAGATAAGGGAGAAGATGCTTCAA